TTTGATTACGGTTACTATGAAGAACAAACTGTAATAGACAGACATACCGCTGTGCCACTAGAGGGGGGGTGAAATAAATACTAATTGTTGGTTCTAAACTTGCTATATAGATATAAATATAGAATATAAATATATTCTACGTTCATTAACACAGATTCAATTTTTGTTATTTTGAAACATTGAAAGAGCTAGGTGTGTGTTTGTTTTCTTATAGCAAAGCCACATCGGGTTATCTGCTATTTCCACCGAGGGGAATCGAACCCCTGATTCTAGTGTTGTAAATCTGAAGACTTACCGCTGTCCCACCGGGGGACGAAAAAGCTAGCATCACCCTTCCAGACAAAATATTAAAGTTATTTAATCGCTTTTAAGATTGATTGTTTATTCAGGATTTAAAAAGCTCGTTAAATATAATTGTAAACTAAACAATAATGTTAACAAATAAAAAACCTGAAATGAAAAAGTATATTTAAATACTAGCAGAGAGTCGCAAAATATTAGCGGTCAAAATTAGTATCCTTATTGCAACAGTACTTCTTTAAATACAGGATTTCTAGAATAATACAAAATAATTCTAATCGCAGACACCGAAATCTCTAAGTCCACTTGTCTTAGGCCTAACATTAGTTAAGCCTTTATTAAGTAGAGCCTATATTCCACAAAGAGATAAATTAACACTGTAGCTTGTGTACGCGTTCTTGCTTTGGTTTAGTTAAGGCTAAACTTTACTAAACTTGCTACTATCAATAAATAAAGTTATAATGTTATTGTACATAAAAAAATAAGTAAAGGTTATATCCATGTGATATCACAAAAAAATCTATGCATTTTAAGCTGTTGATGCTTTATAAGAGTAACAGTCAATTCCTTAGCAGTATAGTGGGTAATGATGTGGTGATGACTGGCGACTCTTCCTCTGCTCAGTATTTCAAAATTAGAGATCGCGGCAGATAGCTTTAATAGTTTTGTTATAATACAAAATATAAATGTAGTAAATGATAAATTATGAACTTATGGTATTTTCAATACATTAGCAAATTCATTTTATTGTTATACTCTAAACATGCTGTCATAAATTTAGTTTTGACTCTATTTTATCCATAATATCAACAATAGTCATCTGAAGCAAAAGAAAAACACATTATTCACATTTATAAAGTCGCAAATTTTATCGCCCGATCTGAAAATGATTCCTACCAGAGACTAAGATAATGTCTTCAAACTCTGATATATATATACAAAAACTGTCTCTAAAATCACTGATGATATGAAACTTGTACTGGCTTTTACCGTTTAGAATTACGTTTAATCAAAACTTTTTTTATATCTAATAGTATGCCCCCGATGGCTTAGCGGTAAACCAAAAGGCTTGTAATACTTTAATTCTGGGTACGATCCCTGCAGTAGGCACAATCCTTTGCTCTTAAACATATACAAAATGTAATAATATATCGTGTTAACTTCTAAATTATATCATCAACATACAACGCTCGAAAATTCTGCCATCTCTACTTGTCGTTTTTAGCAGTTTATAGAATAGTAAATATTAGTATGATATCTTTCAAATTTTACATATCCATCTGCCATTTCCATAAACAATGTTTTTATCTATAGTAAAAGAAATTTATCTACATTTTCCAGAACGCTTTTTTTATGTCGTTAGTATTAAACTGCAAGCTGTTTTAATGTGAATATTATTCCTTTTTTGTGAATAATTTAACGTAGGTTCAAAAAATGGGTTTTTCTAGCTATAAAACAACACTTAAACGCTCTCCTAAATAGCAAAAAGTAATATTTACATTGTTTTTTTATTTATTTGTGTTTTTTTTTTAGTATTCGATTGCAGGAAGGTAGAGGTGACGATCACATCATAAAACGTACTCAAATGATACACTTTGTTGGTATGTTAGTCAATGTAATGTTTTTCGTACATATATATATATACTTTATATAATTGTATAAGACATTCTTAAACAAGATAAGAAAACCGAGCTTATAGAAGGGGGGCTTAAATATTTCCCTGAAACATTCTGAGTCATGATAAAAAAGCTGAGTTTCTGGATAAAGGGGGTCAAATATTTCCTTAAAACTTTCTGAATCACGATGAGAAAATCGAACTTCTAGAAACAGGGTATCATATATTTCCCTGAAATATTCTGAGTCATGATAAGAAAGCTGAGTTTTTAGATAAAGAGGTTGAAATATGTATTTAAATCTTTCTGAGTAATGATGAGGAAACTGAGTTTGTGAAAAGAACGATATTCAAAAAGTTAGATTAGACATGTACAATGGTTAAACGTTATTTGTTACTTGTTTTAGCATTATTGCTCTTTATTATCCTGTAATTATGACAGAACAGGAATCTAATATTACAGTGATACTCATTACTCAGGAATCGACCATGTGTCACGTAGAAAACTTTTCTTTTAATTATTTTTATAAAATTGTACAGCATTGGTTCTAACAACAAAATATTTTAATAAAAGTGTACAGCATTGGTTCTAACAACAAAATATTTTAATAAAAGTGTACAGCATTGGTTCTAACAACAAAATATTTTGATAAAAAGTTTAGAAAAACGAGATTTATACTCCAGATATATATAAAATATTTTTATTTTACCTTTGCAGCCTCATCAAGGTTAATATATATATATGGAATATAAAGGTCGTTTTTGCTAAACTTTTTATCAAAATGTGTAAATCCCTCCAGTATGCATTGCAGATTTTGAAAGATAACAACAAAATACCTGTCATTAAAAACTTCAGAAGGCTACTAACAGGAGTGGAGTGTGATTTGTTAACAGGAGTGAAGTGTGATTTGTTAACAGGAACGGAGTGTGATTTGTTATTTTTTATACAAGTAATAACCTGATGAAGCATAGGAATAGACAAAATAAATTTAATCATCTGCTTCACAGTATAATGAAATAGAAAGATATAGAATACTACATAATATGCTCTTATTCTTCACTGGGTGAAACACGAAAGGCAGGACCTACCACAAAATGCTTCCAGAATAACAATAATAGATAGTGGTTATTTTTCAGTACTGCTGTCTCTTGTAGTTTGTTTCTGTCCAATCATTAACAGAAAGTAAAAAAAATTATGCCACTTTTACTAGCATAAAAACAAATGTTTGATAATAACTATAACTCACTCATTTACTCCTATAGCACTCGGGTCTGTTGAACCTGGTCTGTCTCTCCATCCATCCCTGTCCTGTACGACCTTTTGACCTTTCTTTAGCTTCTACACAAACATCAAAGGCGTCCTCTGCTACATTATCTCGCTATCTCTTTCTCTGTTTTCTTAACGGTACCATGTAGTCTTCCAAATATAGCAATCTTGAACAGACTATTGTCTTCCATCAATCTGAGGCCCTAATTGAGATTTATTAACTAGAAAAAAATTGACGGAATAGAGTTGTTAGCTCTATTCCAACACTCTCTTGTTTTTCCGGGCTTGGGATAACCTCACCATTACTACAAATGCAGCAAACTTAAAACGTATACATGTATGTATTGACAATAAGGATTATGTTAGACATTAAGAAGCTTTGAAGAAATCTTCAGATAACAATTATCCTTGAAGGTAATAAAACCCACTTAAATGTTACATCAGATGAGCACCAAACACTTGAATTATGCTATGATTTATCATGTCATTTTTACATTTTGTATGATATCATGCATGATATCAAAACTAGAAAATAAAACTTTTTCGTTGATCTGTGTAAGATGTTTCGTTTTTTTTGTGATATATTGTCGTCAAAACACTGCATCCAAGTTCAAAAAACGTAAAATTTTATTTTTCCTGACCTTAGTTACATTGACTGTAGAAGATGTAGGAAAAGTGATTTATTACACTATCTTATTCAACAAGCAGATTATATTTAGTTTTAAAATAATAATAATACAATAATTGTTTTCTATAATGAGTTTTGAGTTATACATATGATATTTATATCTCATACATTTCACCATTAAACATAAAATCGAATCTTTGATACCAAATTCCCTACGTTTTTTTAAAAAATAACTTAAGGCATGTTATCAGCAACATCTTCTGTAACCCTGTACAAATACTAATAGTTTCATATGAAGGAGTATTAATAAACAAAAATTCAATATATAAACAAACCAAACACAAAATTATATTTTTTGTTTGCAATTAAACTCGTGAATACTTTTAAATGTCATGCTTAAATATGCAAATATGCAAACACTATAATTCACATCTTTAAAAAATAACACTTTAAAGATTGATATCAAGCTTATCTTAAAAGTTATTATTGTTTATTATCTTTTCATCATTAGCATAGTTGTAAATACCCGGGGGGGGGGGGACTGTTAGATTCTTATATTTACAAGCTTATAACTCAGCCGTAAGCTTTACGGCTTATAACGGTAAAGTTCGATGGGCAGAGCACAGGTAGCCCATTGTGCAGCTTTGTTTTTAATAACAAACAAAAAAATCTGGCAATCCCATTCCACGAGGGAATCATTGGCAATTTCTATATTATAAGATTGTTTACTTTACTCCCGGAACAAATACAACCTAATAAAATAGCCTCGTGTCAATGTCACGTGTATGATCAATAACACATTGATAAACACTTTACCTAACCAATTCAGAGAAAGTGAAAGTGACCTACGATTGACGCCCAAGTACAGGCTATAACAGCGAAAGTGGGTCAAGCTGTAAATTGACCTGTCTAAAAAGAATGTTCTACCTCAGTCAACCAATCCTAATGTTGCTTACATACAGAACACTAATCAGAAAACATAAAACAAAACGTTTTTAGATCGACATGCAAGCGACATTCTTGAGAAACCCTTTACTGAAGCACACGATTGCGGCTTGTAAACAAGTTGTCTGTTTTGTAATCTGACTCAGACTTACATAACTCTTCCTCAAACCACGTTCTAGAATTTTCTAAAAGGAACCCTTTGATTTCGTCAACAAGGCTATCCAAGTATACCAACTGCGCAACTCAAAGCAGCCAGTGCCTATATAAGCGGCTTTTAGACGATCAAACACCAGAAAGAATCCGATACATTGAAGAATAATATTTTACGTTAAAGAGTGAGATCCAGTTCTATTGAAGTAATCAACTATAATATGTAAACAAAGTAGCAAGAAGGGTACTTACAACTCTCATTTAAAGAGGTGGTATTTTAAAAAAGTTTAGACTTAGTTTCTATGTTTTATCTTCCAGATAAGGAGGCTGTGATAATGTTTTCGATTCAATTATTCTTCGTTTTACTTATCAGTAACAGTTTCGTGATCAAGAACTTAAGAATCAAATCTCACACTTTTGTTTAAATCAAAATATAGACGTAATTAACTTCTTGTATAATACATAAATTCTGAATCATCAGCTACTCTTAGTTATCCTCTGGTCCTAATTTTGTTCTAATTTGGTATATTGAATAGATCTTATTGGCTGTTACGGTTCTGCTCCTAATGGCCCTTGTTGTCGCCCTGCCTTCAGGTGGTATTGTTCGTGAATACACCGTATCTGATCCCAATGGTCAGGAATACATGCAAGTGAAGTCATTTTCCCGAGAAATGTCCCCACAAGAGGCCGAGAGCCATCTTCACGGCATGATGAGTTCCATGGGAGACCCACAAGAAAACTTCAGGAAGTTCGTCAAAGAACTTGATTTACATTTCTAACCTGTATATCGGGAATTATGTGATCCTTCCGAACTGTTTACCCACAGATTTGTCCATGTTGGATCATCACAACATCCAGTGTGAATTTATTTATTCAGTAATATAGTGTATAGCAACTACGTGGTTATGGGTTGTGTATCATAAGGGGGTGTTACTGCCAAAATCGACTATTGTATCTTTTTGTTTATTTTTCGAATAAAGGGTGTCAGTGTGTATGTACCATTTTTTATTATGATACTCAGAGTTATCCCACATTTTACGGTAAAAGCTAACATTTACAGATAAAAATATAGTTTTCGGCACGTAATTAAATCTAACTTGCCAAACAAGGACATAAAATTGATTTTGACACTGTATTTAGTTATTCAAACTCCAAAAAAAATAGTACATAGTTTAAGAATGATCAAATAAAACATATTGATATATTATATATTATGTTCTCCAATGTGTGCTGTTCTTCTTAGATGATTAAAAATCAGTCAGATCATAAGAAGATCTCAGTGTGAAATTCGAAACACCAAGTATAAATTCCGAAACGTCCTTAGTGCATAGAAATGTTCCTGTTTCTACTTCCCTGCCTAACAATCCATTTAAATAAAATAATTAATTTTAAATAATCAAAAACATTTATTTTTTTAATAATTTAAATCTCGGATATTTTAAAAAAATGAGTATGCGACATATTAATTCAATTTCAATACTGTTTTGCTGTTGTTCACTAGACAGTACGTAATATATATTATTAGCCTGGCATGGCCAGGTAGTTAGGGCGCTCGACTCGCAATCGGAGGGTCGTGGGTTCGAATCTCCGTCACACCAAACATACTCGCCCTTCCAGCCGTGGGGGCGTTATAATATGACGATCAATCGCACTATTCGTTGGTAAAAGAGTAGGCCCAGACTTGGCGGTGGGTGATGATGACTAGCTGCCTTCCCTCTAGTCTTACACTGCTAAATTAGGGACGGCTAGCGCAGATAGCCCTCGTGTAGCTTTGCCCAAAATTCAAAACAAACAAACAAACAATATATATATTATTATTCACTCACCAACAGAAAAAGTATACCAACCCAAAATTGTAGGTTGTTTTTCCTGAAGGGCTAGAAAGTTTAACAGAAATAAAGGCTTCTCGGGGGTGAGAGCAACTAATAAAAATAAAACAAATCTTACAAAAAATAATATACATTAAAGAATAAACATTTTCTCAAGTGTAAATCTACAGAATGTGACCCACAAAACAACAAAATAACCGATAAATGTAAAGTAACTCTGAAAAAATAAAAGCATTTTAATAAAGAAATGTATAAATTGTACACGATATTTCTAGAAGCATTCGTATATATCTGTTTACATTAGTGAAAGTTTGTACAATATCATACGAAATATATTCAAGTGAAGTAAAAGAGGTTAATATCTATAAAGTTCATGAAACGAAAATAAAAAAGATACTTTCAACAATAACACTAAAGAGAAGTAGAAATAAAGCTCATAATAACAATGTATATATAACAGCAATGTTGAAGAAAGGTTGCTTACAATGAATAGTACACAAAACAAACAATTAATTATTGTTGCTGAAATGGCCAATCTGCCTGATAAACGTGTAATCAGTCGACACGAAGATACGCGGAAGTGGACCGAAAATTGTTCTAATAACCAGTTCATCTTACAGGTTGTAAACTTCAACACGTTCTAATTTTAAAAAAACAAATCTATACAGTCCATAGAATGTAAAGAACGTATATAGAACATTTTGGAGTAATATATAGTAAAATCAATATATATAGAGAGAAATACAACACATAAAATGTATTTTAATATAGATAAGTACGACAAGATTTACAGCATGGTCTTTATTCGATAAGAGCGAACAAGTATTCATGTAAGTTTGTCGGTGAAAAACAAAAAAACGAGCTATTTTTAACGATTGATTAACGACTATATAAAGAAGTAGGGATATTACGAATAGTAAATAATAAACAAATTTCAACCGTATAAAAAAATCACATTTATAAGATTGCAATACTCGTTTAACTCTGATAGAGTAAAAATGCTTTCTGATGAAGGTCGTACAATAATTAGTCGAGATGTTACAAATAATGCAATACATCCGCTAATTAAAACTGAAAATTTTGAATTCATCATACAATGATGACTAGATAACCTTGTTATTTTAAGATACTATTAAATATTATCTATGATGATCGAAAATTTGAAATAAAGACACTCTGTACAATCAAAATGTGCCATCTTGTTGTTTATTGTAAAAGTACAAGCTATAATAAACTCAATTTTGAAATCTAATTAGGTGAGTACAAAAGATCGTATTAATACATCCTTATATTTCCAACACATTATTTTTAAGGATCAGTAAAACAAAAATCTTGTCTTTTAATAGCACTATTAAACTAAGCTGTGCAGCTTATACGAAATGCATTAACACCAAGTTTCATCCTGGCAACATGAGAAGGGAGAATACACCGAATGTGCTAAAATATAACAAACTGTGCCATAATTCGAAAATACCCAGTCAACAAGTAATTAGCCTGCTGAGAAAGTCTTCTATTAAAATAGTTGTAGCGTCACCGTGGTGTAAACTCGTTTTATGTGTCTTACTAATTCAATAGCCCAGGAATTCTTATTGGAAGTGACAGAATTTACCCTCTTAAAATGTTATCATAATTGTTTTATTTTTATATAAAAGTAGCGTATTTATCTTCGTTAAATTATCGGAAAGTTTCAACAGAAACGAAACTAATAATTATGCTATTAGAGCACGAAATAAGAAAGGAAATGGTTTGTAAATAAATCAATATGTTGTCCAAAAATAACATTCAGAATATACTAGAATAAAAAATAGGGTATAAAATGTTAAATTAAACAATCCAAAGTCAATATCATTAAACAAATAACAGCTTGTGACCGTCTTAAACGATAAAGGATTTATTATTATAATACGTCGGCTTTACTTTCTTCGTATGGAAAAACTGTCGGTGAACAGCAAGAAAAATCCACAATTATGAATGGCCCAATGAATGGTTGAGGGAAAACTGGTATGCAACATTCAAAACTACAAAGAATGACACTCAACGTTTATTGACAATTAAATGAATTTGTTTTTTGTTTTTTAATTTCACAGATTACAACGCTAAAATTCGGATTTCGATACCCTCGGTGGACAGAGCACAGATAGCCCATTGTGTAGCTTTGTGCTTAATAATAAACAAAACTAACATTTTTGCCACGCTGTGATTCTTATTTAATTACAGTTCAATTTAACACAGCACTCTTCTCGGCCAACTTAACAACCAGAGGGCTTAACTTCCCACTCTGGTGGAAACACTGAGCTTGCTGTGTGTCTTGTATGCTTTTAGACGATAAATTACATAAATAATGATGACAACTTCAATTAAAAATTGTTATAAGACATAATTATAACAGCTTTATATTCAATGAGAAAACAAAATATATAGTGATGTGATGAAACCGAACCTTTGTATTAGCGTGGAAAATATCTATTCGTTTCAACCGATATTTTGTGATGAAACCGAACTTTTGTATTAGCGTGGAAAATATCTGTTCGTTTCAATCGATATTTTGAAAGTTTTGAATATACCAGTTCTTTGATATTAATCATTATATGGCCGCCACAAAACAAGTATACATTGTCCATTCGATTGTGGTTGATGTGTGGTTGTATACAGATGTTCAGTTTAAACATTCGTGATAAATACAGTTACAAGTACAATGTATAATGAATTTTTCAATCTGGTAATACATAATCCAACTTATAAATTAATAGAGCTTACAGTGATACATTATTGTCAAGAAATAAACACTGTGCTTTTTCTTACACAAAAAAAATATATGTTCGCAGAATAATGAAAAATAACAGTTGACTCATTTTTAGTCTTTAAACGACTTCAGAAAATCAACTTTTTGGAACATTTTTAAATAGTTGCACAAACATACATACATACATACAATTATACATTTAAGTATTACATAATCAAAACCACTAAAAAGATAAAACACGAGATAACCCAAATACATGTGGTGGTCAAACGACTACACCACCCAACCAGCTATAAAAACGTCACCTGTCTAACCTACATTGGCAAAGTCTTTGTATGTTTATAGTAATTGAATTGTTCTTTACTTATCCCAACTAACCTACATTCACATAGGTATCTGAAGAATAAAGAGTATTTACGACATTAAACTATTGTTGCACGCTAATCAGCGGAATAATTGTCCGAAGGTTGTTGTTTTTAATTCGTCATTAAAACTTTCACTTTTAGTAAAGGAGAAGCAATGGTTATACTACTTTTTCTTCTGTATTCATGAAGATATAATCTTTAAATATAAATCAGTTTTTAATCATTTTTTTGAAAGAACAACAGTTTCACCCTAGTTACTTAAATATCAGGCGATAGAAGTAAGAGGGAAAACTTGTGTCAGTAACCTCGGTTTGGTGGCTTGGTTTTGTTTGTTTGTTTGTTTTGGAATTTCGCGCAAAGCTAC